ATTTTAAATTGTGTGGGAGGTCGTTCCACAATTGCGGTGCTCTGTAGGAGAAGGAGGATCGGGCCGCTTTCTTTTTGTATTGAGGTAGACTAAGTAAAGTGCTTGTACTGGATCGGAGCTTATAGAAAGTGGGAACAGCTGGGGAAAGCATTTTGTTCAGGTAGGGTGGGAGTTTCCCAGAAAAGCTCTTAAAAACAAGGCTGGAAAGATGAAGGGTGCGTCTGGATTCCAGCGATAGCCAGTTTAGTTCCTTTAGCATGTCACAATGATGGGTACTGTAATTACATTGTAGCACAAATCGGCAGAACGAGTTATATACAATGTGTTGAGTTTATTAATGTGGGGTGTTTTGGTGCAGGTGCATATACTACATCCCCATAATCAATGATTGGCATCAGCATTTGCTTTACAATCCTTTCCTTTACTGTAGGGCTTAGGCAGGCTTTGTTTCTGTACAGGGCACCTAGTTTGGGATAAAGTTTAGATGCAAGCTTTTCTATGTGCAGGCCAAAAGATAGATTGGGGTCTAACATCATACCCAAGTATTTGAAAGAGTGGACTGCGGTCAGTGTGCCATTTGAATTTGTTTTGATGGATAGGTGGGAATTGTGTAATTTGTGTAATTTAGGTACTGTTCCAAAGATCATTGTGACAGTTTTGATAGCATCTACAATAGCATGTACAACTGCTGTCCACAAGCCTACTCTACCTGTATACCAGAGGATGGAATCACTGAACCATTTACTGAACTCAGTACAGAGGAGTAAATCAATATACGCAAGATAAACATATATCCACATAACCTCATCTTAGCCTGAATTGGATCTCTGCTGTTTACTTCTTTGTTTGCCTTGTGAGATCACATTAGAGTTCAATTACCTTCTGCTAATATTTGGAGATGAAAAGATTACCTGTTCCTTATTTTTGTAAAAGCATGTTTTGTATTTTTTTGTTTGCGTTCATGTTTCAAAGACAACTCTTGACCTAATAGTAACAGAAACCTTTAGTTATGAAACACAAGACAGAGAACAAAGAGAAAAAGGTATCAAATTACCTTTAATTAAACAAATTTATTTAAACAAAAGCTTGCCTTAGGGCAGACTTCCCCAAACTCCGGCCCTCCAGATGTTGCTGAACTACAACTCCCATGATTCTCAGCCCATGTATTTCAGTCAAAGAATCATGGGAGTTGTAGTTCAGCAACATTCTCTGAAACCGCTATGTTTATGAAAAAATGGGTTAATCCTAGCTGGACCAGGCACCCAGACCACTTCATTAAGCTGAAGTGGTCTGGGTGCCTAGAGTGGTCCTTTAATGGAATATATTCGAAGCTTGGACTTGTCACCAGTGGGGTACCTCAGGGATCTGTACTTGGATCCATTCTCTTTAATATTTTTATTAGTGATATTGCAGAAGGTCTTGATGGTAAGTAGTGATGTTCAACATGGATGCTGTCCAGGAGGTGGGAGGGTCTGGGAGGGAGGGTCTGCCGGAGATTGGCAGGGATGTGTCAGCTGACCGGAGTTCGCCATGAACCGCAGCGAACCGTTCGCGGCAAGTTCGCGACATCACTAATGGTAAGGTATGTCTTTTTGCTGATGATACTAAGATATGTAACAGGGTTGATGTTCCAGGAGGGATAAGCCAAATGACAAATGATTTAGGTAAACTAGAAAAATGGTCAGAATTGTGGCAACTGACATTTAATGTGGATAAGTGCAAGATAATGCATCTTGGACGTAAAAACCCAAGGGCAGAGTACAGAATATTTGATAGAGTCCTAACCTCAACATATGAGGAAAGGGATTTAGGGGTGATTATTTCTGATGACTTAAAGGTAGGCAGACAATGTAATAGAGCAGCAGGAAATGCTAGCAGAATGCTTGGTTGTATAGGGAGAGGTATTAGCAGTAGAAAGAGGGAAGTGCTCATGCCATTGTACAGAACACTGGTGAGACCTCACTTGGAGTATTGTACACAGTACTGGAGACCGTATCTTCAGAAGGATATTGATACCTTAGAGAGGGTTCAGAGAAGGGCTACTAAACTGGTTCATGGATTGCGGGATAAACCTTACCAGGAAAGGTTAAAGGATCTTAACATGTATAGCTTGGAGGAAAGACGAGACAGGGGGGATATGATAGAAACATTTAAATATATAAAGGGAATCAACACAGTAAAGGAGGAGACTATATTTAAAAGAAGAAAAACTACCACAACAAGAGGACATAGTCTTAAATTAGAGGGACAAAGGTTTAAAAATAATATCAGGAAGTATTACTTTACTGAGAGGGTAGTGGATGCATGGAATAGCCTTCCAACTGAAGTGGTAGAGGTTAACACAGTAAAGGAGTTTAAGCATGCGTGGGATAGGCATAAGGCTATCCTAACTATAAGATAAGGCTAGGGACTAATGAAAGTATTTAGAAAATTGGGCAGACTAGATGGGCCGAATGGTTCTTATCTGCCGTCACATTCTATGTTTCTATGTCTGTCTGTATGGTGTGTGTGTGTGTGTCTGTCTGTCTGTATGGTGTGTGTGTGTGTGTGTCTGTCTGTATGGTGTGGGTATGTGTGTCTGTCTGTCTGTCTGTGTCATGATGTCTGTCTGTATGGTGTGTGTGTTTGTGTGTGTGTGTGTCTGTCTGTATGGTGTGTGTGTGTGTGTGTCTGTCTGTCTGGTGTGGGTATGTGTGTCTGTCTGTCTGTATGGTGTATGTGTGTCTGTCTGTCTATCTGTCTGTGTCATGGTGTCTGTATGGTGTGTTTGTGTGTCTGTCTGTCTGTCTGTGTAATGGTTTCTGTCTGTATGGTGTGTATGTCTGTGTCATGGTGTGTGTGTCTGTCTGTCATGGGGTGTGTGTCTGTCCGTCATGGGATGTGTGTCTGTTTGTTATGGTGTGTGTGTCTGTCTGTGTCATGGTGTCTGTCTGTATGGTGTGTGTGTGTGTGTCTGTCTGTCTGTCTGTCTGTATGGTGTGTGTGTCTGTCTGTATGGTGTGTGTGTCTGTCTGTTTGTGTCATGGTGTCTGTCTGTATGGTGTGTGTGTGTGTGTGTGTGTCTGTCTGTCTGTGTCTGTCTGTCTGTCATGGTGTGTGTGTGTCTGTCTGTCTGTGTCATGGTGTGTGTATCTGTCCGCCTTGGTGTGTGTGTCTGTGTCATGGTGTGTGTGTCTGTCTGTCATGGGGTGTGTGTCTGTCCGTCATGGAGTGTGTGTCTGTCCGTCATGGGGAGTGTGTCTGTCCGTCATGGGGGGTGTGTCTGTCCGTCATGGGGTGTGTATGTGTCTGTCCGTCATGGGGTGTGTGCCTGTCCGTCATGGGGTGTGTGCCTGTCTGTGTCATGGGGTGTGTGCCTGTCTGTGCCATGGTGTGTGGGTCTGTCTGTGTCATGGTCTGTCTGTGTCATGGTCTGTCATGGGGTGTGTATCTGTCATGGTATATGTGTGTTTCTGTGTCTGTCATGGTGTATATGTGTGTTTAAAAATAGTGTTTTTGCTCACCTTTTTTTTCCCCATGCAGCGTGCTGGTCTCCCCTCGACTGGCCCTGCCTCTATAGCTGAGATCATCAAGCTTGATGATCTCAGCCAATCCAATGCTTTACCATAGGATTGGCTGCAAAAAGCCACTCCAATCAGCATCTCCTCATAGAGATGCATTGAATCAATGTATCTCTATGGGGAACGTTCAGCACCTACAGAGTGTGGAGGCCCTGAATGTAGGTGCACTGACACAGGAAGCACCTCTAGTGACCGTCTGAGTGACTGTCACTAGCAGTGTCACTTTGATGCAATGTAAACACTGCCTTTTCTCTGAAAAGTCAGTGTTTACGTTGAAAAGCCTATAAGGACATGCTATAGACACCAGTACCACTACATTAAGCTGTGTGTGTGCGTCTGCTAGTGAGTGAGCTTGCTTGACTGCGTGTGCCTGCTAGTGAGTGAGCTTGTGTTTTTATGTCAATTAGCTGATGTATATCAGTGAGATTGTTTGTCTATGAGACTGAGTATCAATGAGCTTGTGTGTGTCATTGAGATGTCAGTGAAATTGCCTGTGTCCACATGTGAGTATGCTTACTGTATAATTAAACGTTTTACCCTGAAAGGACCAATATTTTATATTAGAAAAAGCAATATTAATATATATATATATTACTCAATCATCTGTCATGGCAAGACATAGCCTTACATATTACACGCGACAATATTTGGCGCAGTGACTTATGGGGCTGGCACAACATTTTTTTCCAGGGCTGCTTTGTATCCCCAGTCCGGCCCTGCCCCCATCCCCCCCGGTTCCTACGCCTATGACTGTGACTCGAAATGGGTTGAAGGAATTTTTTTTCAGATCACCTATTTTAGCCTCAGTTTTGACGTTTGGATTTTAATTTGCGAGAATTCAACATTTTGGGAACACTCTTTGTCAGTAACATATTCACAAATTGACTTTATTTGAGATAATAATTTTTTTGCATTTGGTTAATTGAAGTCACTTGAATGTCTGGCGATGACGGTGAATCTATTTAAATGAGACTTAAAATCTAATCTTACTGCACTGGAGGTAAAATTGTAGAGAGAAATATATGGAAGCACTCACTGGACTTTCTTATTCAAACAATATTAAATTTTATTCTTTATTTAATTTTACGATCGACGTTTCAGCCGTATCCTGGACTTTCCTCAAGGAAAATAATTAAACATAACAGCTATTTAAAGAAACTGGGAAATGAAAAAAAGGCTTGAATTTATGAAAAAGAGGCTTGAATAATGACGTAATATGTGCACCGTAACTCAATGAGGTTCAGTTACCGAGGCAATCATAACAACAACAAAATAACCATCATACCCAGCAAAGCTAGACTCCACGTATAATGTTAAAAGAATTAAAGGACCACTCTAGGCACCCAGACCACTTCAGCTTAATGAAGTGGTCTGGGTGCCAGGTCCCTCTAGGATTAACCCTTTTTTTAATAAACATAGCAGTTTCAGAGAAACCGCTATGTTTATAAATGGGTTAATCCAGACTCCAAATCCTCTAGTGGCTGTCTCATTGACAGCCGCTAGAGGCGCTTGCGTGCTTCTCACTGTGAAAATCACAGTGAGAACACGCAAGCGTCCATAGGAAAGCATTGTAAATGCTTTCTTATGAGACCGGCTGAATGCGCGCTCAGCTCTTGCTGCGCATGCGCATTCAGCCGAAAGGGAGGAGAGGAGGAGGATCGGAGGAGGAGAGCTCCCCACCCGGCGCTGGAGAAAGGTAAGTTTTAACCCCTTCCCTCTCCCCAGAGCCAGGCGGGAGGGGGACCCTGAGGGTGGGGGCACCCTCAGGGCACTATAGTGCAAGGAAAACGAGTATGTTTTCCTGGTACTATAGTGGTCCTTCAATCAGAAAGATAATATGCACTATTTACACAAAATACCAATCAAAATGCAACAAAATCGATACAATATAATGCATCAACCTACTCAAGCAGCAACAAAAGTAGTCCATTAACAAGCCTACAATAATACGAAACGTGCATACTCTCAAAGATGTTCAGCTAAGGAACTATAATGTATCTGTAAGGAATTATGATACATAATAGCAATCTATGTGTACTAGTCTTAGTCATACATTTTCACAGACATAAAGGCACCACGAACACAAGGACATATTGTAAAGTGATGCGGAATAAGTGGGCACTTTATAAATGCAAATAATAATATTAAGCATTGATACATTTGCAAAAGATTTAAAAGAATAAATCTCACAGGTGTGAGGGTGTCTCCAACACGAAAAGGCACTTAGTGTCTTGGAAAGTAACAATTCAAAGGGTTAACTGCATTCAACCCTCCCGGAGCCAGAGTACACAGGGAATATATCCAAACCACTTCACTGCGCAGTAACTCCTCCACCCAATTTGTAAACCGGTATATGATCAATTGCTATAAATTTAAGAGATGGCAGTGGGTGGCCAGCTGTCAAAAAATGTCTTGCCACTGGAAGTGTTTGTTTTTGGGAGTGGTGGTTCTGGATAGGTTCCCAGAGATCATTTTTGTTTTTCCCAATATAGAACAGTCCGAAGGGACAAATGATCTTATAAATCACGTACTCTGTAGTACAGGTGAAACGATGGTTAATCATAATTCTTTTACGAATATGTGGATACGTTTCATGACTGATTCAATGATTTGCATTAAATAATCTATTCAGTGTGGATTAGAAGGCGCTTTAAATTTGGCCAATTATAGCCAATCAATGGGGGTCGAGAAAAAATTGCTGGGAATGTTCAATTTTTTGTGTGCAAATTTCCAATTGTCCCTAACAGATTTAGCCAAAAGATGTGACTGTGTATGCTATGTCACATACGTATTTGACAAAGATATGATCAGTAATGTCAGCATTGTCAATAGTTCTGATACAGAGCAAATTTTTCTTAAAGGGAAACTCACTTCTGAGGATTTTTTTTTTGACACTTTTTTTTTATTGAGGCAACGATAAAAAATATTGCATACATTTAGGTATAGCACACAATTACGAGCTTACAATAGCACAGTAGAATAAGTAGAGGAGCACATCAAGATTTATAAACACAAGTGTGTAAAATACAAAATATGTCTGCCTCACTTTTAAGTTATGTAGAAAACATGCTAGGTACACTATCAATCCATTAACTGAAAACATGCTAGAGATTTTAATAACAGGAATAAGGTAGGAGATAATGTAGTTGCTGTATGTCAAGTTAGGATTATATGAAAGGGTAACCACTGAGGCCCCAGGCATTATCATGGCACCGTTATCACTACCCTCTGATAAATTACTGCATTGCATAGATTACGTAAGTAAAATAAACATAAATGTAAACTAACAGACTAAGGCCTATAAATGGATAATGTTGACAAAATGTTATGTCCTGTTACATTCTGCGGATATTTCTGGTCATGGCTTCTGTTATCAAGTACTCTTTTTACAATTCTTGTTTTTTTCTGGTTATCTATTTTGGTTTTCTTTATGCTGGGTTTTCTGGGTTCATTCCTTTATTCCGTTCCTGGAATTCCCAGTCTCCTGGATTCCTTTATATGTTGTTTTTTTGTTGCCACACCTGTTCCTTTGCCATTTATCCTTTTTGTTTCGGTGTGTTCCCGCTAGCAGTGGTTTCCTTCCTCTGCTCCTCTCATTGCAGGTAAGTACTGTATGTGTTTTATTGTTGTACTTTTAGTCATACATAGCTAGGCAGTTAGGACCCACCGTAATTGGAGTACTTTGGCGCAGTGGTGGGCTGCATACATTTTGGCCATTTATGTGTGTCTAAATCTCCAATATTTATTACATATATAGTACTTAGTTATTTCTCCTCTTGTTTAGCCTTGTATCTCTTGTCGTGTTTTATTTTGTCTTGTATTCCCAGTTCATGTACAGTCTTGTCCTGTTCTTGTTTCCCTGTCTTGTGTACATATTCTGGGTTCTGCTTTCTGTCCTGCTCTGGTTCTGGGTTCTTCTTGTTTTGTCTTGTTATCGTGTTTGGTGCCTATTCTAGTCTTGCCTTGTTTCTGGTACTGGATACATATCTGCATATTATCAAGCTCATGGGATCTGCAGTAGCTGCTTCAGGGTCCTGGTATGTGGCTGCAAAAACCCTGGTGCTCAACACTAGGGGGCATGTGGTTACCCTGCACTAGACCCCAACTGTTCGATTCCACACTGTAACTCCAACCATCGTCAGGCATACAGGGGTCCTAGTCTCCGGACCACCTTACGTGACACAAACTGTGTGAAACTGGTCATGGACCCAGTATGGAAAGTTCAGCGTCAGCCAACACCAAGGCTCTAGAACATGTGGAGGTGGCTAAAAGGCAGTTCAAGGCACGGGCCAAGCATGACATCCATCCAGCCAGCCACAGGCTACGTTGAGGGCCTGCATCAGTGTATCACAGAATTGGTGGGGGTTCATGGCTGAGTCCAAGTCCTTTCCTATCGTAATGCGGCAAAAACTCCATATGGTCGATCGGCGTATGCGGCATAGGGTCTTCTGCCTCCATGGGTGATGCATTGGGAGGATATCCCTGACGGCTCCCAGCCCAGGCAAGTTAAGCATTGGAGACATCACTTTTTTAATGTTAACTTATTTCCTATATTTAATAAATATGTATTTGTGAGGTGTGGTAAATAAAAATAAATGTAATAATCCACACTTGTGGCGGATCCAGAGCCTGATCTCGGGAGGGGCACTTGTAGATTATTTAAAGAAATAATGCAGGCACAATAACCACTACAGCTCAGTGTAGTAGTTATGGCGCCAGTAGTGCCAGGATCACATCCCAGAGTAAGTAGTCAAACCGTTTTAAGAACAGTTTGACAACTTACCTAGGGTCTGCTGGGATATAGGGCATAGGAGCAATGGTATGAGTTAGGGGTGAAGTGTGTGTGAAAGGTGCAGTGTGTGTGTGTGAGCGGTGAAGTGTGTGTGCGAGTCCGTGAGAGCGGCAGTGTATGTCAGGGTTGCAGTGTGTGTGTTAGGGGGCAGTGTGTGTAGTGTGTGTATGGGGGCAGTGTTTGTGGGGCAGTGTTTGTGGGGCAGTATGTGTTTGTGGGGTAGTGTGTCTAGTGTGTTTATGGGGGCAGTGTTTGTGGGGCAGTGTGTGTATGGGGGCAGTGTGTGTTTGTGGGGCAGTGTGTGTAGTGTGTGTATGGGGGCAGTGTGTGTAGTGTGTGTATGGGGGCAGTGTGTGTAGTGTGTGTTTGGGGCAGTGTGTGTAGTGTGTGTATGGGGCAGTGTGTGTATGGGGGCAGTGTGTGTAGTGTGTGTATGGGGGGCAGTGTTTGTATGGGGGGGAAGGAGGCTTTTTAATATAAATTTTTTTTAATTTAATAAAATAAATATAGATTATGTCCCCCCTCCCTTCTTACCTTTATTGAGGAGGAGGGGGGACATTTCTCCATCCCTGGTGGTCCAGTGGGAAATTCCTGGTGGTCCCAGTGGTGGTGAGGTGAACTCTAGCCCGCGCTCCAGGGCTAGAGTTCACTCTCGCGAGATTTGGAGCGTGCCGTGGTAACCGCGGCAATGCTCCATGCTCGCGAGAGGAGGACCCGGAGGAGCTGCTGATAAGAGCTCCTGGGTCCTCTCTCACTCTCTCTGATCTCAAAGGTCCGCAGGCACCTTGCAGGCTGGCACTTGGACAATGCCATCCCTGCATTAGCCGGCAGGGGAGAATTTCGGGGGGGGGGGAGAATTGCCCCGTTGCCCCCCCCCCCCCTGGATCCGCCACTACCTGCAATTGAGAGCCTCCATCTTAGCTCCCTGTCAATCACTGTCCTGTGCACCTTGTAGTCAGAAAAGACGAGGCAATGAAACCATGTTGCTGAGTTTGCCCTGCTGTGCCTTGCCTGAGCAGGATTACAATCTGTTTTGCTAAATTTTTAATATAAACCTGAAAAATAGAGTTTCTGGTTAATACAAATTGTAGGTTATTCATTGTTTTATCAAATGGTGTAAATTTCAGAGAAGTGACACTTTCCTTGAAATGATAACATTTTCAACATTTTTCCAAACTTTACAGTTCTCACTATGATCAAAACTTGAAGAAAAAGATCTCATACAATAACCCTTTCGCTTCACTTACAGCCAGCCTATATTCTTCAGAAATCCTTTATTGTTTAAGGAATGCAAGGATCACAGTCATTCTAACCAAAAGTGAAGCAATTTATAGCTTTCACTTCCAATGACTACAGCCCCGGGTAATTATGAATCCTTAGCCACACATTCCATTGTACTTACCATTGTGCACTTTCTCTGTTCTCCCATCCAAAGCTGATAGGGGCTTGAACTTATTAAACGATGACGCATTGATGCCATTACATGACACATCATTGCATGGAACTTGTGTTGCCTGGCAGAGGAATAATTACTCACAATGCCCTCATTTATTTGCGAGGGCATCCCAGTTATGCTCAATACAGACAATAAGGACATAAAGACATTAGCTGAGTTTTAAGAAGGATAAAGAAGCTTGATTTGTTAAAACTAGATTTGTCTTTAGAAATACTTAATGCTAAATAAAATACTTTCACTTAATCAGCTTTCATTCTTTAGCCGAGCTAGGCAAATAACTAGGCAGCGCTCCTCAGGCCAGCATAGCTGCCATTGCCAGAAAAGTGTTAAAATTGTGAATGCTTTCCTATGGACTGGCTGAATGCGCGCGCATTCAGCCGAAGAGGAGGAGAGGAGGCGGAGAGG